TGGAATCAACCATTCCATTCCATCGACTCTGTGTGTGTGTGTGAGTTGAATTGAATTGATGAAAATTTGGTGAATGTAGGAGGAGAAGAGGAAAATGGTGGCTTTGGCTTTTGGTGAAGATCAAAGTGGAAGTTCGGGCCCTCGTTTGACTGCAGAAGATCTGAGATATTTGTTCATGGGGGCCAATCGTTGAGATTTTTTGTTTAGATTTAAGTGGTGGAAACTTATTTATGTAAATAGTAGTAGTAGTAGTAGTAGTAGTAGTAATTGGTATTGATGTAGAGAAGGAAAGGTTATATGTTTCTATACCTAAGTTTGAATGTGCTTTTATTCGGATGGTTAACTTTATCTTTCGGATTTATTGATGAGGCACATTGGGCGGTTAATTTGGTCCAATTTTGGTTACAAAAATATAAAGTTATATAGTTGTAAAACGTAAATATATAATTGAAATACATAAACATATCATCCAAGTTGTTTCTAACCTAATATAACTTTTGTAAAACCTAAATATATCATTGAAACAACATAGGGAAATTCCAATAATTGTATATCTTGCATAATTTGTATTTCCTTCTTGAATGTTGGTAATAAAGTTTTAGCCAGTTTCTTCAATGTTGATATTAGTATATGACAAAACTTTCGCTGATTTTTTTTCCTTCTGTCTTCCAAAATCTCGGGTTCCAATTCGGTTAACCCTTCTTCAAGTTCCACATAGTTACACCTTCTTTTAATATCCTGTCACTAAAACAAAGACAACGTTTTAAAGTTACGATAGTAGTTTGGACCCATAGTACATTCCTAGCCATTATGGCTAAGAATTTATATCGACTAACTTATGTTCTTTCTTGCCACTATTTTAATGATGAATTTCAGACTTGATATTAAACAATCCGATAATTAGTATTATGAACCAATCACAAATTATTTAGAATGGATAATTAAAAAAAAACGAATGGATGAATAATATTTATGATTAAATATACAAACGTTTTCACAAACAACCAACAATTAATATAGATGATTAAATGTTGATATGTCACATATAAATCCAATTATATTATTATTTTTACCAAGTTTCGTCAAGGAGTAGAAGGCGAAAATAATAAATCCAGTTATATTATTATTGGTATCAAGTTTCGTCCAAAAATCAGATTGATCATTCGCAACCATATCTAATTATAAAAAAAGAGCAGAAGCAGACTGTCAAGATCGTAGAAGACTGCATGGATCGGACTACTGTCCTTAAAGGGTTTTTACTTCGCTTCTAGGCTCAGAAACCAAACCTGATATTTAATGTAGATTTATCGGAACGCAAAGCGAAAAACTAGGTAGAAATCGCAAAAGAGAGAGAGAGAGAGAGAGAGAGTTTCGTTCATCCCTTAATCCACTAAAGCCTTTGTAGGCCTATAAACCCACTAAATATTTCTTCCTCCACCTATATGGGATAATAAAAACTTACTTATTCCATTAAAATTTCCAACAATTAAAATATCAAAGCTTATGAATTATTTGATAGTTATATTAAAAATATCATTGTCACTAAGATAAAAACAACATTCCAAAGTTCCTCCCAAAAAACGATTAGGGTGCGTTTGGTTGTGGAAAATTTTCCAGTTTTCTAGAAAAATTTTCCAAGAAAAACGGAAATTTTGAAAACGCGTTTGGTTCGTTCAGTTTTCCAAAATTTTCCAAGAAAATGAAAATTTTCAGTTTTCCAAATTGTATGTAAATTAGAAAAATGATTTTTACAGTTTTCCAAATTTCTAAGATGGAAAATGAAAACTCCACCGGTTTCAACCAAACGTGTTTTCTAAAATTTTCATTGAAATTTGAAAGCGAAAACTCAACTCTATTTTCTGAAAACATTTTCTTAGAAAATGAAAACAGTTTTCCATAACCAAACACACCCTTAAATTCTTGAAAGTTTTGATTGAGAAACTTTAGTAGCCATGACGTGCCGATACTCATTAAATTCTCTTGAAAGTAGACAGCATATAATAAAACTCTACATATCCAATACAATCTTATAGTGAAACATTAATCAATCGTCCAGGAAAGATACATAGTAATTGAAAATGACATTACTGTAATTGTACATAACAACCTATATAAACATAACAACTTCCATTTGATAAAATACCAAGTAAACATTAACCATATCCATCTGATTGATTCCATTTTGTATGCGGCCCAAGTCCAACGAGAAAAAGAGTAAGGGTTGTTGCACTTTCGGTTTTAGTTATTTGGAACCGGTTTACCGATGACCGAATAAAAGCAAAATGTATAACCGATAGTAGGACCAGTGTATCTTGGTTAGTGATCTTATAAAACAGTTATTGATGAATTTTGGAAATAAATTTTTCAAAATTTGTTCGAGTTGATAACAAATACATTTTATATTTTAAAAGGGTAACCAGCTCATGAAAAAACTAATGTTTTCAGTATGTTTACATGTTATCTAAAGTTGAACAAGTTATATTTTTTAATTTTACACTTTTGGGCTATATTTTAAAATTTCTTACAAATTTATCTGAAAATTAAATTTTATTAAAAATTCATCCCTAATTTAATTTAATTTACAAAATTGGTTTTTCTACAATTGTTTTAATAATTTTTACAACTTTTTTTCTTAGTTATTTATTGGTTTTTTAAATACAACGTCTTAAATTTGGGTTATAGCATTTTAAACTTTTTCTACACTTCCATATGATTTTCATACAACTTCTTCTCAACCAAGTATCTTATAAAGATTTTAAACTTTTTAAATATTTTTAAGTTTACATTAAACTTTTTTTATTACTTTCATGAAATCCTTTCCTTTTTTTTACAACTTTTTTTAAAATGATTTATAAAATTTTATACTTTTTATAAGATTTAAAAAAAATTGTAAAAAAAATTAAAAATATAATACAAGCTTAAAATGTTGTATTAAAAATGTAATTTTTTATAAACTTTTAATTAAAACGTAAAAAAGTTGTATTTTTCAAAAATATTTTTGTTTAAATGCAGGTGTATTAAATTTGTACGAAAAGGTAGAAAAAATTAAAAACTTATAACCCAAGTTTAAGATATTATATTAAAAAATATGAAATAAGTAGGAATATGTGGATTAATTATAAATGTCTTAAAAAAGAAAAAGAAAAAAAAAAGCAAAAAGTAAAAACTAAGTATACAATAATACAAAATTGTGATATGTGATTTTTTTGTATTTGTATTTATTAATTATTTGTATTGATAGATAATATGATTTAAATGATTTTTTTTTAATTAATTAGCAAAGATTGGGCCTACCATTCACCTTGATGCAGTCAATTCTCACATCACTCCGTCTTTTGGGACTTCATAGTTGAATCCCCATTGTAAATCCCTCTCCTACCATTCAACTTGCTAGGGGTTGCTTTTTCTTTTTAATATATTCTTCTCGTTCGCCCGTTCAAAACAAAATCTACAGTTGAAAATCGTTGTTATTAATTTAATCTTTAATTAAATCAGATAAAAACTTACCAAATATTAAAAGCAAACCTTAACCATACGCTAGAAAAAGTTGAACCGCAACTATTCGAAGTTTACTGAATTATGAACACCATTCAATTAATAAACTCCACCAAGTTGTCTATATTAGTCTACTTCCGTAGATGCCAAAACAATGGTCAACATTTTATTTAAATGGACATTATTCAATTTGCATTGGCAAAAAAAAAAAAAAAAAAAAAAATCAAAAAATAAACAATGAACTACGGTTTGGACTATCCGCACGATGCTGTGGAAGCCCCAGTATGTTTAAAAATGCAACTCGACACTATATCTACCACGGAGACGATTAAACCATATAAAGTGGAGCACAAAAATATCAAAATAAGTTTTGGATATAAAAAATTATGTACGGAGGAGTCAAACGAAAATAAGACTTGAAAGTGTATCCTAAAGAAATTAATAAATGACTATTAAAAAATTATGTAAGGGGCCAAAATATAACTTTAAAATATAGTAAGAGATCAAATATTTAAAATTATGAAAGGTGAAAACAGTTAAATAAAACTTAATTGAGGGGAAAAAAATAAAAATATGAAAATCTTCGACCAGAATCTAAATGATTATTTTCAGAAAAACTATTGTTTTACATTTTATACCACATGCTTGACAATATATAACATGATTTGGTTTTAATAAATTTGGATTTGGAAATAGAAAGACCAAATGAATAGTGAAACCACCTCACAAACCATATTTGGTATTTAATATACATAAGTATTTTGTCACTTCGTGCATTGCGGCGGAGAACTCAATTACAATGTAAATCATGAAAACATAAAATAAGGTTTTGAACCAAACAATTATTTGTGGAGAAGTCACACAAAATAAAGTTTGAAAGTGAATATTGAACATATTGATTAACGTTTAAATAACAAAGTAATATTAGTAAAAATAAAAACTATAAAAACAATTATGTAAATGACTAAAAACGTAACTCTAAAATATAACATAAGTTAAATAACTTAAGTTTAAAATTATGAAGCTTATTTAATCAAAATTATTTTAGGTTAGAAAATGTAAATATGAGAATCTTTGATTATCATAATCAAATTTGCTATTTTGAGAGAAAAAGCTTACTTCAGAACTGATATTATATTCTATAAAACTTGTACTTTGATATTGAGTTGGTCTGTTTTTTATCTGGCATTGGTTTAAAAGCATATGAACAGCCTACGAAAAGTAAACTCCCTCACAAACCACATTATTTGCAAATTAATATATATTAAATATGATTTGGTCTATTCTTATTTTTTTCTTATGCAGTATTCATTTTAGCTTTTTATATTTTTGTTTTCTGTGTTGCTTTTTGTTATTAATAAAATGAATTTGCTTAAAAAGAAAAAAAGTAGTAGATAATACAATTTGGTACGTATAATAAATATTTGATTAAGGGATTTCCCTAACGTTTTCGTTACAATGACGTTACAAAACCACTATCAACACACGGCACTCCAATTTCACACCTACCATGTACCCTTCCTCACGCCGTCTAATACACCGTTACGCGTTTTCAACACACTGCTAAACAAATCGTTAATTCCGTTAGTCAACACATTTACAACGTCGGAGAATTTCGCCGCAGCGTTTCCCATCTCTTTAACGTCATTCTCCAATTGATCACGGTGTTTCTCGCCGCCGTCGGAGACGACTTCGTCGAGGACATCGCATACAGCTACCACTTGCTTTGCTGTATCTTCAAGATCCAACAACCATCCTTTTCTCTCTGCTCCATCGGAGACTTGCTTTGGCTTTATCAGCTCGTAGATTTGTGTCTGCACGCCGTTGACCAATTCCGCCCATAGGAACTCTGCCGGAACTCGGACTTCAACCGCATCGGACTCTCCGTACAGAACGGAAACCAAAACGCCGGCTATAAAGACGGTTAAGACTCCAAGTCCGTGTAACGTTCGCCGGATCAGATCTTTTGCGCTACTTGTCTTCCCAAGCGGCAAGCTGTTAATGGCGAAAGTCAGTTCTTCTATCAAGGTCTTCGCGCGTTGGCCTTTCTCCTTTGAAATTTCTTGTGTGTGGCTAACGGATCTGATCAGAGCATCCTTCGCCTTTTTCAGTTTTTCAGGGGACGGGATCTGACCCGATGAGTTTATCATCCTAAGACCGAGATTCATCAGAAGTCGTCGCTCAGTTAATTGCTGAATCGCTGATGAAATCAAATTACACAGATCCAGTACCTTTAGACTGTAATCCATATACAAAGCTTGATAATAATCCGATTCAGATCTCAAATTCGAAATCTGATCTTGCGCTTCGAAATGAACAATCGACAGAAATGAAACGGCCTTCGACATCCAAGATAAGCTGATAATGGATGAATCAGAGGCCGGGGATAGTGTTTTCAGATGGAAAATTACCTTTTCATCGAAGGATCGAGCAGCTAGTTGGTAGCTTTTGTGGTTAGTCGAGGATTTCTTGGTGAATGATTTAAAATGGGAAGTTAAATGAGTTTTCTCGACGAGAAACATGGCTGACAGATAGGAAACGATCGGATAGAGTCGCCGGAGACGAGAAGTTTTATTCACCGGAATTTAGCAGCCTGTTTTTGATTTTCGGGTTTTTAATGTGAATTCAATTTCGATCTCAATATATATAATTCAGAAGGGACGTGTGAATAAATATACGGCAAAGAATCTTCTAGGAAAACCCTGAATTGCCCTCCCACTGACCATTTGATGTATATTAGAAGTCGTAGGGACCACCGGGTATACGTACATTTGACGGGGAGAAATCAAATATATTTTTTTTTATTAATATTATAAAAGCCCTAAATTTTTAACGTCTAATTCGAAAAAATCCTAATATTTTTTTTATTATTGCTCTGGACACAACTTTCTCGCAGAATTATCACTCTAGCCCACTTAACAAGTTTCATGGTTAATTTTTTTGCAAAATCAGTCCTAAAAAGTTCAAATTTGGTCCCTGATGTTTGCAAAAAATTACACCACATGGTTTTTTAAATTTATTTTTCGTTTTTTGTAAACTTTATTTATTTTCGGTTTTATTATAAATATATATACAATTTTTATTTTTTTTATATACTTTATTTATTTTCATTTTTTAACTTTATTTTTCAACAATTTGTTTGTTTGTTTGTTTGCTTTTTTTTACCTTTTGTTTTCTATTTTAGTTATTTATGGTTTTTCTAATGTTTTTATTTATTTTGATTCAAGTAAACGAACTTGAATTTAATTTAAATTACTATAACAAGTTTTTTTTTTTTTTATAGAGATCGACTATTATTATATTTTTTGTTCTTTCTTTTAGTCTATTATCAAATTGAAAAATATTATCTTGAATTTAAACTATTGATATCATATATAGAAATATGATTTAATTTGCAAGTTATACATCACATTGAAACACTAATTCTCAATAAACAAGCTAATTTTTTTTAATTTTCATTTTTTCGTAACATAAATATAATAACACTAAAGAAAAAAAGAATAAAAAGAAAATAAGTTGGACCGAAATTACAAATATAAACATAACTATTTTATTTACTTGAAAAAAATAAAAAAAATTACAAAAACTATAAATTATCAAAATTGTAATATACTCTAATATATTAATACATTTTATATTTTTCGAAAAAGGTCAATAAAAAAGTTAAAAATACAAAAAAAACAAATAATTGGAAAACAAATAAGAAAAAAAAATAAATAAAAAAGATGAAAAAAATTAAAAATATAATACGAAAAGAAAAATGAAAAAAAAAAGAAAAGAAAGAAAGAAAAACTCTAATATACTCTATATATACACTAAAAAAATAGAAAACAAAAGGTAAAAAAAAAATCAAACTGTTGAAAAGTTAAAAAAAAAAGAAAATAAATAAAGTATATATAAAAAAAGAAAATAAAAAATGTATATATATTTATAAAAAAAACCCGAAAATAAATAAAGTATACAAAAAACGAAAAATAAAGTTAGAAAATCATATGGTGTAATTTTTTGCAAACATCAGGGACCAAATTTGAACATTTTAGGACTGATTTTGCAAAAAAGTTAACCAAGTTAACCATGAAACTTGTTAAGTGGGCTAGAGTGATAATTATGCGAGAAAGTTGTGGCCAGAACAATAATAAAAAAAATATCAAGGCTTTTTCCAATTACGCGTTAAAAATTTAGGGCTTTTATAATATTAGTCTTTTTTTTTATTGAAAAGTGTCAAAATTAAAACTAAAAATAAAAGAAAGAAATAATAATTAAGGATATTTAATTTTTCTGGGATTCTAGAATTCAAAACTATTTTAACTTTTATAACCAGAACCCCTAGCCTTCATCTTTTAAGATTTGAGTTTCTCTCCTATATTCCTTTCTCTTTTGGATGATTTTTTATATTATTTGGATGAAGTTTAAAGATCAAGAAGGTTCTTTAGGTTGCAAGGAATGATATTTCAAATTTGGATTCATCAAAGACACTACATTTTTGAACTATTGTAAGTATAAAGTTCCAATCTTGCTATCTAGTTCTTTAGATCTTGTCATTTGGGGTTTTTGATACATTTGGTCCATTTTATGGGTGATCTTGGAGTTGAGTGAACTCCAACATCTTTTGATCAGTTTGGAATGTTTATTGGACCTCATGGACTAGGAAAGTTGTGATCTTTTGCCTTCCATTTTTGTTATGCAAGTTATCTTGGTCCATTAGGCCATTTTGGTGTATTAAAGTTTAGATATTGGAAGCTTGAGACTTGGTGGATCTGAAGGTTGGAGACTTGGACTTAGTGGATTAAGTTAAGAAAAATGTATTTTAAAATCCCTTTGAGACTTAAAGTCCACATCTTGATGGTTTGGACCTTCCTAACGGATAAAGTTAGAAACTTATCCATTAAGACCTTGGAAAGGATTAGATCTGAGTTTTGGAGCTCCTAGAATCAGAAGAGAACGGATTAAGCTCGTTTGAGCTGTTCAGACCAGTCCCCACAACGTGGCGACTGGGGAATCATCGACTGTTTTGGCATTTTGTGCCCACGACGTGGCCAAGGAAGGCCACGTCGTGAAGGGCTACTATTGGCAATTTTGACCTTAGCCTTGACCGTTGACTTTTTGACTAGTTTGATACATTTGGTCAAACTAGGGTAGAATTGAGTATCGACAAAGGATTGTTTTCGGTTTGGCTTTAGGAAGCTTGGGTTGGTTGTTTTGTTGCTGAGATAATTGTTAAGCTTTTGATGAGTAGTTCAGGTGAGTTCTTCCTTGCTATACTCGAGGGTCGAAGGCGCCAATGTCGGCCCTCTGGACTTTGTATGTATCTTGGTATATAGAATACGATATATTGTAGTGATTGGATAGTCGGTAGATCTGTAGGATTACCTGTTTTGCTGGTTATTATTGTTATTCGATCATGTGTATATGTCGACATATTGTAAAGGGTTGGGTTAAGGCGGTCCTGCTTAGTACTGAAGGCCAAGATACTCGGGGCGGTACGGATAGACTGTAGGCCTTACGAGGTGGTCTAGTCAGGTCGTATGCCTGCAGAGTCGTCCAAATAGACCGTAGGCCTTGTGAGGTGGTCCAGTTAGGTTGTAGGCTCGCAGAGCGGTCTAGACATATTGTAGGCCTTGTAAGGTGGTCCAGGAAGGCTGAAGGCTCGTATATGCATGTTGTTATCTGTTTGGTTGTGTGTTGTATATTGGGGGAAACTCACTAAGTGTCACACCCCCAAACCGAAACGGCGGAAACGTTCGGGGTGGATGACGTCATGTATAGTATCACAACAATTGTCTCATAGCAATCATAGTAAACACAACCAAACATTGAATAGATATATGAAAAAGGTTTACATCTGTTTAATTCTTGTTTGTATACATCAAAAGTATGAGGAAAATATAAAGATGTGACTCTACTTTGCTTCGTCTTCTCAAAACTCCAGGTGGTACCTGTCTATTGATTTCCTGAGAATACAAGCAGTTTTGAAAGAGTATCAGCATAAAGTTGGTGAGTTCATAAGCATGTTTTTGTAATAAAAACCTATCATTGAATATGAAAAATGTTTGTATGCTTCCCAAGAAAATCAAATATTTTCTAACATATATGTTTCACTACTGTATTCCGAAGTAGTGTATAACGTATCAGTTTGTATGCCTGGTTACTACCAATATGTATATCATATTCTGTTTGGAAAACCCTGGCTATCACCAGTATGTATAGTAGTTTCTTTACTTAAAATAAAACTAATGAATAATGAAATCCCGTAAACAAAAGTTAATTAATACTGTTGTGGGTCGTATAACCATGCTTTATATGACTGATGACCTCTACGACGTTCTTCAGGCGTCGTACGGTATGATATTTGTCACCCCAGGCATGCCTTCCTAACTGTATCTAGCAGTTTAGGTGTGGGATTGTCAGTCCCGAATAGATCTATTCACAAATCTCACGCTCTCCCTCTAGGAGACTCTGGTTACACTAAACGTTGAGGGTTTAACCGGTACCAGAAGGGTACAAATGAAGAGTTGTCTCACAATCCTGTATTAACTAGTTTACATGCGGTTCTGTATTGTTCTCTTGTATCTGAATCCGTTGTATACTATATAAGGTAATAATTATACTTAAATAATTATTAAATGTTGTACCCTTGAAATATGTATATCATAAACTAAATTTGTCGTAGTTTATATGTTTTCCTGTGTATGCAATCTGAATCAGTAAAAGCTATGTACTGAATTCCCCAAACTATACCTATTATAGTTTGCTTGAAATGTTATGTAATTGATTTGTATCTCGTTCTGGATATTATGCAATTAAATTTCGAAAAAGTGTCCCTTATGCTCAACACAGTACAAAAGGGATAAAGTATGGAAATATTTTATAAAACGTGGAAATAATTTGACTGTATCAATTCCATAAATTTAAAACTTGTGAAAATCATTTGTGTTTGGCTTGTATTCCCCCCTGAAAACATTAAAAATCATAAAAGCGTAGGGGTATGAACTCACTGTTGTTGTGTGGAAACGTCGACTGGAAACGAAGATCCTCGGTTTGTTGTACGTGGCACCTAACGGAATCCTAAGATCAATAAATACATATATGTATCTAAATTAGCGATTTCGTTAGATAAAGTGTTAGAAAAACACTTGCTTTCGGTTAAGGAATGTTACCGGGACTTGATCGAATCGAGGAAAGTGGGTTTTCGGCCAAGAAGCACCACTTAAGAAGTGTGTACGGCCGTGAACGGAGTTTATGGTCACAAGGAGAGTTTACGGTCGACAGGCTGTTAACGGCCGTGAACAAGGGTTTACGGTCTTTGAAGATTGGCCGTAAACATGTTTATGGCCTTTGAAGATTGGCCGTAAACTCAAGAACAAGGGCGTTTGTTTTCGCGTAAAACGTGCTCCAGATGCTTCCAATCGACCCCAAGTGATGATTTTGGGTGTTTTTCGGAAGAAAATGGGCGTTTTAGGAGTTTACGGTCAGAGGTTCTAGAGAGAGAATGAGAGAGTTTTCGGTCAAAAGTGTTCAAATG